TTTTACCTCTGACTCCATCATCAGTCTCTCGACTCTGAATCACATTTTCAGGGGAAGCGTGTGGCCCCCCGTGACTCACGCCCTCACCCAGAAGGCGCTGCATTCTTGGGCTTAATAATGCAACGTTTAAGGAAATGTTTTCATATTCTCTGCAGACGGAGTTGCTATTCAGAAAAGCTGCTCAGCCGAAGACCACTTAGCAGAAAAATAAGATCATTCCTATCTTCAAGGAGCCGCTGAGATTCATCTTGAATTATGGCCTGTGGGGGCCTTTGCCAGGGTAGCCATGTGTCGCCTGCAATTTCTTTCTTTCTTTTTTTAAGTTTATTTATGTGTACACACAAGAACTGGGGTGCAGGCCAGAGGTGCAGGGGCTGAGAGGATTCCCCAGAGACAGGGTGGGGAGCAGAACAGGCAGATCCTCTGAAATTCACTGCTGAGAGGGCAGCAGAGAGACAGAGGGGTGTGCTGCGCCCTGGGCCACTCCCTGGCCAGGAATCGAGCTTGTGCTGCAGACAGGTCCACAGCACTGTGCTTTAACCCCCGTGACCCCAGGGAGGCCCGTGTATGGTGACTCGTTTAGGGAGAGAACGAGGAGCTTGTCTGGTCCCAGCGTTGAAGTCCGTCCTGTGTCTTAGCTGCAGCGAGTGCTGCCTGGGACCCCGGACTGGTTCGCCTGTGGCTGCTCGTGGGCAGCCCTGAGTCCCCACCGGCTCCTGGTCCCCAGTCCGCCTCTCTGCAGGCTTCACTCCCTCAGACTCCACACGTCAGCGGCACCGGCAAACGTGTCTTCCCGCGTCTGCCTTGTCCAGCACTCGGCCTCCCGCCCCAGCCTGGCCCACCCCGCTGTCAAAGGCCAGGCTGCCGCCCCTGCTGGAACAACAGTCCGTGTGCCCGGCCTCTGCCCCGGCGGGGGCTCTCAGGCTGCTTCTGTGTCCGGCACGGCCGTGACCCCCGCTGCATAGACGGGACCTGGCGTCTCCACTTTCACTTTTCACTCCCTTTGGGTGTAGCCTGAGAAGGAGTGATCACCCCGCGTTGTAGAAGTGCATCCGATGAGCTCGTCCATACCTTCAATAGTGGTTTACATCGATTCTCTCTCAGTTGAAGAGACAACTTTCAGCCCCTCCCTGGCGGCATAGGGGTTAAAGCGCCGCCCTGTGAAGCTGTCCTCAGCCACTGCAGTGCGAGTTCGGTCCCCGGCCAGGGAGTGACCCCCATGGTGCAGTGGACCCCTCCTGTCTCCCCGCTGCTCCCTCAGCAGTGGACTTCAGTGGCTCTGCTCCCCACGCTGTCTCTGGGGAGTCCTCTCACCCCACGCCTCTGGTCTGCACCCCAGCTCTTGTGTGCATAGATGAACCTTTTAAGAAAGCGAGAGCGTTTGGGGTGCAGCTGCCATCTGTGTGGTGCGGTGCCCGCGCTCCCGTGTTTCACCTGCGCGTCACAGTGCGGAAGGCCATGCCTGAGAGCCTGAGAGCAGCAGGGTTTGCTTATTTCATATTTTTGTATTATCAGTGTCTTCTGTAGTTGTTGAGGCGTTTTAACTTATCGAGGCACTTAAATTATTGAAATAGTTACGTTGGTTGCTGCAGAAGACCACTTTGACCTCTGTGAAAATCCCTTCTGGGTCCCAGGCTGGGAGCTCCTGCGGGCATCGGGGTGGCTATGGTCTGGCCTCTTCCTGGGGGTTGCTCAGTTCTGGTCTCTTTAGCTGCGGAGATTGAGCACAGAAGACCTGAGGGCCGGCCCGAGGTGTGGGGACTAGACTCTCCAGTAACAAGACGGGGCGAGGACTTGAAGGCGGTGCCGGGAGCCCTGTCCGGGAGGGCGGTCACGCCACTGCTCCAGGCCTATTTCGACATCCAGAGTGTGTGCTAAATGCTTTGTGTGAACAATATCAGCAACGACTTGGGTCTAGTTTCTGTGCAGTCTCTCCTGGTACATGAGCGTGAAATCAGGAATTAGCTCTTAGCACTGAGCCAGTGTGAGCGTGTCGCCCGGCGTGGCATTCGGCGAAGCCCAGGAAAGCAGAGCGAGTGGTAAAGAGAAGCTCTAGAAACATCTAGAAGCATCTGCGGCCTGAGCTGTTGTGACGTCCTACCCGAGCCTGAGCCCAGAGGGACGAGGAGGCCAGAGGTGCGGTCTGTTCTCCACGTCAGCCCCCGCTTTTGACCTGCAAAGATGCGACTCATCCGTGGTGGGGGCTGGTGGAATTCCGGTCCACGGTAGGTGCAGTCTGTCGCTGTGCGCACAACCACACCGGCCACACAGCCTGTGTATTCTAAGCGTGTGCACCCCTGCTGGGTGGGAATCGGGGCGTTGTGAGAGCCCCCGAGCGGTTCGCCGGCGCCGGGCACTCGGCGTTCAGCCCGTCCTCTTGAACACACGTCTTCCACGTCTCCATATCGCAGATTGCTGTTTCCCAGCTGTGCTGAGCACAAAGCTCAAGTGCAGCGATGACGCGACCTGAGTGTATCTTTGAAACACGAACGATTCAGACGTGAGTCAAGGCCGGCCGGCTCTGGCCTGGGACAGCGCGTGGCACATTGCTGAGTGCCCCCGCGGCCAGCAGGCTGAGCCCTGCCCACTTTAGGCGTGCGAAGCCCGCGAGTCTTTGGCTTGCCTCGGACCTCGCGTGCAGGCCTCCCCCCATAACGCGACGTCCAGAACAGAGCTGTGAGCCGGCCCCGGGCGCAGGGCCGAGGGCCCAGCCCCTGCCAGCAGTGACCCCCGCTGCTGGCCAGTCCCCGTGCGCGTCCGCCAGAAGCTGCTGCGTCGTGATGGTGCCTGTGGGGAGCTGACCGAGCCCACCCGAGCCGCTGCTGGCCCTGCTGCTGGCCGCCCTCAGCACTCTCTAACTGGGAATTGGGTCCCAGCCCCACTGGGCGCTGCCTGGGCAGGTGGACTGAGGGGGCGTGTGCCGCGCCACGCGGCCCGGAAAGGCCGCGCAAAGGGACGCCCTTGTCCCCTCGGGCCCGGCCGTCTGCTGCAGACGCTGTCTGAGTCCGTTGATTGTTTCCCACCGCTGCTGACTGCTGACAGGGCTGAAGGACCATTTACTGGGAATGTCTCCAGATAACACCGCAGGCTTGGTCAGAAAGCTGCTGAGACGGTGTTCCTGTGCCCCCGGGGGCCTGAAAACCCTCTTGAATGGAGAGGAGTGGGGAGGGGTGGGGTAGGAGAGACGGGGGGAGGCGCAGGAGGGGGAGGGAGAGAGTGGACAGGACTGGGAGGAGGAGGGAAGGAGCGTGGGAAGCAGAAGGCCCAGACTGCCCCCAGAGCGCGGGCTGGCATGGGCTTCTCCTTGGTGTATGCTGGCATGACTGAGCTGGCAGGACCTTGGAGCGGCTCAGAGAGGTCACCCCGCTGTCTGCCTGGAGCCCTTCTCTCGGATGCCGTGAGGGGACAGCTGACACGACGCTGCCCTTCCCACACGTCACTTGGGCTCTGTCCCCCTCGGGCCCCGCAGTGGCCCGTGTCCAGGCTGGATGCCGGAGAAGCGGGAAGGGTGCGCTTGGGGGCCCCACGGGTATTCTGCACCCCTCTCCCAATCTGCCCCTTAGTCTTTGTGCCACGTGTTACAGCCACGTGCCAGGAAGCACCTACTGGGCAGCAGGGCGAGCCTGTGCCCACGTGCTGCCACGAGCTTACCCTGACCACAGGCAGCACAGCAGGAGACCCCCGCCGGCCGCGCTGGGGCCAGCGGTTCCTGGAGTCGCAGAGGCTCTGCGAGAGGCCAGGCTCTTCCCGGGGCGCCTCTGTGCCCTGGCTCTGCTCGCCCGCCCCGGCGCGTCTCCTGGCCTGTCTCGCCAACTCCCACGCTCCACCCCGCCTCTGCAAAAGTGGCCTGTTTCATTGCCCACTGAAAATTCTCTTTTCCATTCCAAACCTTCCTCTAAGCAATTCTATATTGAAATTTTTTTATTAAAGTGATATTCATAAAGTGGAAATTAAAAGGGAGAATTCAGGGAATTTTGGACCTTCACCAAGTCTTGCAGCTGCCACCTCAATCTAGTTCCAGAACGGTTCCCATCACCCCCGAAGGAAATGGAGCCTGTTAAATGGCTCCTTCCCATTCTCCCGCAGGCCCAGTAACCACCAGTCTGTCTGTACAGAGGAACTTACTTTCGACACTTGGTATCAGCGGAATCATTCAGTACGGGGCCTTTGGTGCCAGTTTTGTTCACTTAGCATGTTTTGAAGCTCCTCTGTGCTGTGGCCTGTATCACTGATTCATTTTCATGGCTGCATAGTACTCCCCGGCGTGGGCAGATCTCAGGCACTGATTCATTCCTCCGTGGAGGGACATAGGTGTGCCTCCAGCTACGGACAGCGAATAGAGCTGTTGTGAACATGTGCGCACAGCTGAGCACCTGGTTTCAGTCCCCAGGTGAGGGGTATATTGGGAATAGAATTGCTGGGTCCCAGGGTCCTTCCAAGTTAACTTCTGGACTCGGCCAGACCTTTGCACGGCAGCTGCACCGTCTCTGAGCTGCCTCCTTTTGTTACACGGCCAGTCGTTGCCTCTGCTCTCCCCAGCTCCCCAGCAGACACCTCCCTCCCTCTCGGGGCCTCCGGCAGCTTGAGACCTGGCTCACAGAATGCAGACGCGCCCCTCAAGGCCACGGCTTTGCCGCACACCCTGGAGGCGCACAGCAGTCTGTGCCACTGGCTTGGATACCCAGCCTGGAACCCGAACTGGGGCAAGAAACGCTTTCCTCCGCCGGGGCAGTTCGTCCTTTACTGCGAACCACTAGGTTTTCGCGGGACGGGGTCTTGCTTCTCGCTTCGTCATAATGTTGTTTCCTGAGCGGTTTCCTGGTGTTTGGGTGGGGCGGAGGGGGTTCCGGGAGGGCCCTGCGCGGGGGAGGGTGCGGTCTTGTAACCCCAGAGGGGCATTGCCAACCGGTTGCCTGAGGGAAAAGAACAGACCCAGCGGGCGTGGGCCGCGTCGGGGCAGGGCCGGCGGGGCCCCTGTGACCTGCTGCTGTCCTCCCTAGGTGTCCTTCTTCCTCTTCATCATCTTCGTGGTGTACACCATGCTGCCCTTCAACATGCGCGACGCCATCATCGCCAGCGTGCTCACCTCCGCCTCCCACACCGTCGTGCTGAGCGTCTGCCTGTCGGCCAGGGCTGAGGAACACCTCGTCTGGCAGGTGGGTGACGGCGCGCGGGGGCGCGGGGGCGCGGGGCGGGGGGCTGGCCCCGGTGGGGCCCCGGGGAGCCCTGCGGCAGTTAGCGAGGGTGGAGCGCAGGGCTGAGTGGGGCCGTGGCGCGTGGTGCAGAGCTGAGCTTGCCCTTGTCCTCTCCAGAGCGAGTGCCCTCTCGGACCCGCCTCCCCCCACCTCCCTGCCGCGATATCCGGGCCGCACCCCTCTGTCTTGGCGAAGGACGAGAGAGTTCCCCAAGGGTTGACTTTCTGCATGGGCGGAGATGCCGAGGCGGCACGTTGGCTGAGCTAACGCGCGGCTCTTCCGAGAAGCCGTTCTGTTTAGTTCAGCCATTTCGAAAGCTGTTTGAGCCCCTGTGCGTGCACCAGGGGGTCGTCTGGGGTCACTCCAGATCCTAGTGGTCTCCTCCGTGCGCTGCTCGGCTCTTGGGCTGGCCGGCCCCGTCCCGGGAGCCGTTTCAGACAGGGTTCCCTCAGTGCTGCGGGGTCGAAACCAGTGACTGGCTCGGGCGCAGTTTTATTCAGAAGTCAGAGCTGGAGCTGCAGGCTAGCCGGGGGCTGAAGCAGTCTCCCTGTTTGGGCGCGTCCAGGCATCACTCCCTTCACTCACAGCAGCCTGAGGCGGCGCCCGCACAGCGTGCCCCTTGGCCAGGGCCTGTGTGGACGTGCCTGGGCAGTGTCCCCTCGGGGAGCTGGGGAGGCCGGCGTCGTGGTGAGCAGGCACGTAGACACCGGGCAGCAGCCACGTGGGCCCGGGGCAGTCGCGGTCCAGGCCAGAGGGAAGAGGGACGGGGCAGCGATTCAGCCGAGCCTGGGGCTGGTGGGGGGCTCCTTTCTCGGAGCTCTGTCCAGCCTTAGCATATTGGACCCCCCCAAACCCCACAATAGTCATGGGCGCTTCCCCCACAATCTCAACCTCCCCGCTCTCATGCAGGGCCGATGGTGGGTGCCTCTTTGCAGAAGGGATGGCACAGACTCTGCTCTGCCAGTTTATGCCATGAATACCACAGCGGGGTCTCACCACAAGGGCAAGGGACCCGCGCACGGGGTCTGGGGTACCTGTACCGGGGTTTGGTTTGGGGTACCTGGGTACCGGAGCCCTCCCCTCCCTCTCTGGCTCGTTCATGAATGGATTAGCTGCTGGCGGTGCAGACGTGACGGAGGAAACAGCGGGAGAGGAGGTCTAGACCACCTGCCTGGAAGAACCCAGGGGTCCCCTAAAGACAAAGGGGTACTTTGGGTGAACCGGTCTCCCACACCATCCAGTACTGTAGGGAGTTGCTTTTTGCAAAGAAACAAACAGCAAACAAAAGCGGGGTTTCTTACAGCGATTAAAAAGAGGGAAAGAATGTAGTCCTAAATATTTATTTACTCAGTTTTCAAAAGCACTTCCCCTCAGTGACAGCCGCAGGTGGGGGGCAGTTCTGGCCAGGAGAAAGCGCGCTCCCCTCACCCAGCCGCGGGCCACATCAGAGCGGCAGTGAGAGCAGCAGCCTGAGGCCGGGCAGGTGCTGCCCCGCCGAGGCGGGCCCGCGGGCGCGGCAGTGGGGCAGACAGGCGGTGCCAGGGCTGTTGCCGTGGGGGCAAGCGTCCAGGAGAGCGTGGGAACTGAACCCAAAGTTCACCCATCCGCGAGGCAAGAAAGCACTTTTTTTATGCAACACGTGTGTGCCAGAACGCCGTGGAGTAGCTGGCTGCTTTTCTGGGGTGTAGCTGTTTCAGCAAAAATGAGTGACGTCCAGGGTCTGCCGGAAAGCTCTCCCTGCCCCCACCAGGCCTCCTCTGCGCCAGCCTGCGTCAGCACGGGCCTCAGGAAGTCTGGGTGGCGCCTGCAGTGGGCGGGTGACGCGTGCCTCCCTGACCCGTGAGTTAACCCACAGTGCAGTTGTGCTTCTGTTTGACTCCTCTCGGCCCCCACTGGGTTGCTCGTCCGTCCGGTCCGGAGAGTTTCCTCCCCGCCTCCCTGAAGGGAGCGGGTCGCCTGCTGCCCTGGCCGCGTGACGCCGGGGCCCTCACGGTCCTGCGCCTCTGAGTCAGCGGGCGACATCGGGGCCCCGTGGGTGCGTTCCCGCCATGGGGCTTCCCAGTGAGGCCCGTGGTGGCGTGGTGGGACCTGCGTGGAGGTCTGGGGCGCTGTGCGTCCTCAAGCGCGGCCGGGGGGGTCCGGGCTGCCCCCGCGGGGAGCCCCCAGGGGCGCAGGTGTGCTGTGCAAAACTCTTGTTTCGTCTTAAACAAGCCGCTCTCCTCTCCCAGCGCCCTCGGCCGGCGTCCCCGCAGCGAATGCCGAGCCGTGGGGCAGTTCCAGATCCCCGCATCTGCTGTGTCTGCAGCGGGCTCCCTTTCCCGCCGCTGTCCTGTCCTTGATGCCCGCAACTTGTGCTGCTAGTGTGCCGCCTTCGTCTTTGGTTTCCCAGGGAGGGGAGCGATGCGGACTGAAGCCAGTTATCCGAGAACCTTACCTGCTAACAGTTCGTGAGGCCCGAGCGTGCAGGTTGGCCAACTGGGCTGTTCGTTTTTCAGGGAGCCGCTGGGGATTCTTCTACCCAGGAGCCGCTTCGGTGCATTTAAGTTGGGGCGCAGTGTGATGGCCGGCAGGCCGGCCTGCGGTGGGAGCCCGGCCCCGTGCGCGGCGAGCCCGTCCGAAGCGCCCATGCGGATTCGTTGCATAACTGACTGCGTGTAAGTGTTATTCAGGACCCGGCGAGTGGAATCTGGCACGAAATGGCGTTTAGGCTGTAGCCTGAGACTCTCAGAGGAAAAACAGCAAGTTCCCAGCTGCCCGCTTCCTGTCTGTGGGAGAGACTAATTGTTAGGAATTTAGATCTCGTTCCTACTGAGTTGTGTTCAGAGAAGTGCAGAATATTAATCACTTCTGCAAGGGGGAGGGAAGCAGGCTCCCTGCGGCTCGTTTTGTGAGCCCAGGCCGCGGGCGGCCGGTCAGCTTGTAACCCCGGCCCTGCTCAGCGAGCCTCGTCTGTCCGGCCAGGGGCCTTGCGTGTGTTCGCAGGCGGGGGGGTGAGGGCGGAGAGGCCCGCCCTGTGGTTTGCAGCGAATCGGGGCCCTCCCCGCCCTCCCACCCTGCTCTCCTCACCCTGCGCCCGTCCCCTCCTGGAGTGGCTGCAATGGTGCTTCCCCCCCGGGGCAGGCGGGCGGCCGGGCCGCAGCTGTCCTTGCCCGCAGGCCGTCAGGTCGTCGGCATGCGCTGGCAGTCCCTAGAATGAAACCGCGGCAGTGCTGGTGAGCAGCTCCCTGCTGCGTGGGTGAGCGCGGGCGGAGGCTGTTGGGGGAGGGGCTCGAGGGACAGAGAGGACAGACCCTCAGACCGGGCATTTCGTCCTGGAGACGGCCCAGGAGCACACGAAGAAAGATTTCTTGAAAGATGATGCTGGTCCCACCGGCGGTCTTGTCTTCTTCCTGGTGCTGTCCCCTGCGCGCCTTCTGCGCGTGGTCAGCAGCAGCCGGTGGGGGTCAGCCTTCCGTCCAGGCGGGCACCCCGAAGGGGCACTGCCTCCTCCCACCAGCCCAGCGGCGTTGTTTCAGTCAACGGAGACCTGGGCTCTGTCCATCAGTTGCTTGCATTTTATTGTTTAAAGATTTATTTATTTATGCACACAAGAGCTGGGCTGTAGGCCAGAGGTGCGGAGAGGGGGTGAGAGGACAGAGACAGAGCGGGGAGCAGAACAGGCAGGTCTACTGAAACCCACTGCTGAGGGGAGCAGCGGGGAGACAGGAGAGTCTGCTGCGCCCTGGGGTCCCTCCCTGGCCGGGGATCGGACTCGTGCTGCGGCGGCTGCAGCCTCTAGTTCTGCACAGTCCTTGCTCCGCCAGGGAGGGCCCACTGATAGCTTTTGAGGCTTCTCTGTGATGATTGCTCAGTAAACCGCCAGTCGCTGCTCTTTAAGATCCCCGGGCCAGGACGACAAAGGCAGCCCAGGGGCCTGTCACCGCGAAGCTCTGCGCACGCAGCACGAGTGTGCGCGGCCTGGCCTCGAGGGCACTGCGGGCTCCCTACCGCGAGGGCGCCGCTCGGGTCGGGAGGGCTCTGCAGCCGGACAGCTGGCGGGCTGGTGTGGTGGTGCAAACGCAGGGGCCCGTGGGCTTTCCAAAGAGGCGGCCGGGGGTGCCCCCGGGTACCCGTCAAGCGGGAGTGGTCATTATGGCTTCTGGTAAATATGTCCCTAAGGCAGCAGAGAGGATGAAGGGAGTGGGTGAGTAAGAAGGGCTCTTGTGGGCCGTGCTCAGCGGTCTCTGGTAGTGACCACCACGCATGCCCCCCGCCCCCGCTGGTGGCCACACCGCACCCATGCGCAGGCTGGGAGGTGGGTGCCCACTCTGCTAATTTTCCGCAGCAGCAATGGTAGCATCCGTTGGGAGACGCGAGACCTGCTGGCCAGTGCAGGGTCAGGCGTTGTGACACCTTCTAGCAGCCGGTGAGCATCACCCAGAGAGTGGGATGGGATGTGTGGCTGTGGCTTGTCCGTTTCCTGGCCTGCGGTGGGCACAGGTGGCCCCCAGGTGGCCTCCAGGACCCCTGCGGGCACAGGTGGGCCCCCGTCCCCTGTGGAAACTGGTTTGCCAGCAGTTGAGGGTGTTGTTAGCTGGCTTTCAGCTCAACGGTGCGGAGCAGCCAGCCCAGGTCACCCTTTCTGAGGGCAGCCTGTGTCCGTGACTGGTCATGGGGTAGAAATCTCCCCGTGAGGCCAGTGCAGCCCCCAGGCCTCCTGTGGGCACGTCTGAAGTTCCAGGCCAGCACCACTGGCCAATTCGCCTGCTGCCCAGGCTCGTGTTCCTACGCCCAAGAGCCCAGTCCAGAGGGAGTGCCCTGATCGCCGCTGGCGAGGCTCCCCAACGTGCCTCCTGCAGGACAGGACTGCCCGGCACGTGGGCTTGGCCTGATTCTTCAGGCTTCTCATGTGTGAAAGGACAGTGGTGAGGCCGCCCTGGGGGCGCTGTCCTCGGTGCTGACGCCGGGCCCCTGTGGGGAGG